TTTCTTGTCTAACGCGAGCGGGCTGCACAAGTTTTTGATTAGTTTTGTCCAAACAAAGTTAAATACTGCAGCGTGTTTGAGAGCAAATCTCTTACAAAACTAATCTTCACTTACATCAACGTGAAGGGTTTCCATGGCAACAAATAGACTTGAACGTCATTTCTGACAAATCTGCATGTTGCATATAAACTATTTACAGACGAGAATGATGATGGATTGACCTGAAATTAAATATAAAGTATGTTTACTAAGATGGAATTTTAATTGCATAGAACTGCATGTTTCTTTTACGAGAAGGTAACATTAGCAATTCTCTAATTCATATTTCAAAATTGAAGACCACACTGAGTGTAAAATTGATTTCAGATCATCTGTCTAGCCTTAAGCCGTAGTACCATTAAGTAATGTATGCTCTCAAGACCACACGTGGCACTCAACAAAATTATCATGAAATTTACAGCAGTTTCTTGTGAGGTGACGTGGACAACAGAACTACTTAAAATTTGATTTTTAACAAATATATCACAGTACGTCCTCTAGATATGTAACTTGAGTTCTAGTGTTATGTAATATAATAAAGTACTAACATGGCGGCCGTGTGAAGTTTTCGTTTGTCTTACGGTATGGCAGCGACGAGAAAGGAAACACTGAAGGTACAATTAGGAAATTGTGTATGGAGAAATATTGTAAAAATTTTATGTATTATTTATTAAATAATTTAGAACGCATTATGGCTAATAAAGTTTGGATTCTTATAGTTTAAGGTGGGTTACATTAGGTAAGAGTCGAGGAAGTTATTGACCTGCTGAGCGACTGTTAGCTTCTCGAGAAAGATACTACTGCATGGATTTAGGGATGAAGATGAAGTGCGGGTTTCATAATTCATGTGACAGTTTTATGTTGAAGTTAATGAGACATTTGTTTGGAAGTTTGCGAGAAGGAAAAATCAACCATTGTTCTGTGCTGTTTGCTTACTTGGGGGCTGTTCTGCATAATTCATTCAGACATGTAGAGCCGTTAATTTTCATATTATATTTTTTTACATTAATGTATTTTTTTTTGTTCTTTTGGTGTATATCGTAATAGTTTTCAAATATTTTTTCATTTCTGTAGATGTTATTCGTGAAATGAAAGTGCTGTAAACTTATATAACCCTAAGGACTGTTTATCGTTACGATAAACCAACACACGTTATGTTTGTGTGCCTTCACACTAGTTATATATTAATATTAATAATAATAATGATCTATACGTGTTTAGGACTTTTGATTATTTTCATTGAATTGTTATGTTAAAAAATCGTTTTCCATTAGTTATCTAGACCAGACTACTTATGTAAATTTCCGACTTGGTTGAATTAAACCCTGAGATTGCAAGACAAACGACACGTCACTTAATTCTAATCATAATGACAAGGGCGGTAATGCATACAGCAGCGAGTACTTAACATAATTTCTACCGGTAATGCCATTTGCATGTAAGCTATGTATTTGTGCTTGACGTGTTTTGCTCGGAGTATTATGCCCTGTTTCTTTAATTGACTAACTAACTAACACTGTCCAACGGAGTCCTTCTTGAGAAGGTAACAGTAAGTTCAGCTAATCAAGAAATTACCTAATTTTTATGGTACCTGAAGGTTTATTAGTCTGCGCAAGACCCTGATACACGTCTCTATCTTGTTCCAAATAAATCCAATCCACACACCCAGTCCATATTTCCCAAACATCCATTTCAATATTATCCTCATTTATGTCTATCTTCTGAGTGGTTATTTATTTATTTATTTATTTATTTTCGTACACGAAAAGAAATACGTACATCATAAACTCAAGTCGGTTCTCGTCATGGTCGATTTTAAATCGATTTTTATCGTATGTATATATTATTTATAAATGTCCAGTTAACTAAGAATACAAAGGAACAGTAGATGCAGTTCTTTCGGGGGGTTTTTTAGGTTTTTTTATTTGGAAACAACAGAATTTTAATTTTCACCTTTAGTTCTGTACCAGCAGAGGTAGAATAAAGCCATTATCTCGTACTTTCATAAGAATAAGAAAAGTTGAAACGAAAAATACTTTTCTCTACCGTACAATTTAGAGAGGAAATCGTTTTAAAATTAGTTGAAGACAACGTAAGATGTCCTTTTGCTTCTGTAGAAGCAGTAGTGGGTTAAGAAGATTGATTTTCTTCTTGTGGCATTATTATCCTATAACTTGACTTTTTGTTCGGTCACTAAGGTATCCAGGATTTAACACCACGTAACACGGCAGAGTATTGTAAGTAAAAATAAAGTGGGGAGGCACGATTAACGATGCTCTTATATGAAGTAGACTTCTTTTTCTATTTCAATACGATACCATCACATATAATAGGATAAGAATTAGAGGTAAGCTCATTTCAGGAAGTTGTCTGGCCTGGACCATTTCGCATCTCAGCTGAGATAATCTGCGTGGGTAGCAAAATAATTTAAAAATAAAATCAGATAACCTATTAGTTTAATTTATTAATCGAATTCCTTGAAAATCTGAATGAAATAAGCACTTAATTAAAATTATAGCCTTCTTACAGACTCATGCTGTTTTTTTTTCACGGTCTAATATAACAATTTGAATGTGCCATCACTTTTGAAATAACGCTTGTTTAACTCGTTCCCTGCCATGAACGATATACCTCGTTTTAAAACCGCCGGCTGTATTTCGATTCTTTTCTTTCGAGGAGGTCAGTGAAATAAGTCAGCACCTCGACCCGTTTGAGGAGTTTCATTCAAAATTATCCGTTACCGTGGAAATGTGACAATAGAAGGACGGCATGAAAGATTAACCATACTCTTTCTAGGAACGTAATGTGTCGGTCAAGCCACGGTGGTCTAGCGGTTAGAACGCTGGCCTGGGGTCTCGGGTTCGATTCCCGGCGGTGCCCGAATTTATAACTTGTGTTGGGCAAGGCCGTGGTCTAGGCAGCACGGAGTTTTCCTCCGGGGCTTCCCCGGTTTCTCCGTGGCATCCCAACAATTACTCCATTCACACACAGAAGAAGGCAATGGCAAACCACTTCTGGATCATCTGCCAAGAACGTATATGAACAGGTCCCAGTCCGAGAAAAGGATGGAAGGATCCTGTTCATATGGACCTGTCGTCAGACAGAACACTAAATAAATAAATAATAATGTGTCTGTGCAACTGCACCCATCCTGTATTGAAAATGTACCACATTAAATGATATTATTCATGTCTTTGAAGTGGAATTTGAATGTTGGAATAGTAATTTATGGGCTATCACCCTGATGATGGATTGCAGTAATCACCTCTGAAACGTCGACAAACATTTACCGGGGCATGGAACGTCGCAGAGGACAAGTATATTTTATACTCTTTGCCATGAGAACCTGAAATGTCACAAAGGTAGTTCATTTTATGTTTTAAGTATACATATCGGCTGAAATAAAAGCATTGTAGTTTCTCTGTAATGGAAAATAATGAGATCTGCAGAGACAAACTCCCAGAGGCTACGCGTTTCTGAGCTGAAATAAGACGAACGCACTTTGCATGTCTCACCCCGCTCACAAAGCAGAATCTGTTGAACAAGTCTGGTGTCGTCTAAGCAATAAGATCAGTACATAGAGTAATTAACAACAAAAGAAGGCGAAACAGAACTGCAGTTCCATCGCGTGTCGACTGTCCGCGTTGTAATTTGAGCTTAATTAACCTTCACTAACAAGCTGTTCTCTTAAAGTCAGACGGACGCTATAAAACGTTTGTCGTGCAGAATTACCTTGTGTCCTTTTTGCGCGCAATAAAATATATCTCTGATGCTTGCAGATCATTCTAATACGATGAACCCGTGTCGTGCTCACATTTCTGTAACAGACTAGCCCCTTTGCAAATTCCGTCAGTGTTTTTAGGCGTAAAACCTAAGCGCAGACGTTAACAAACGAAGAATTCCACAGTTATTTCTCTGCCACGTGATGCCACGCTAAAATTCTGTATGCATTTTTTTTTTAATTTTAAGCCTTTCCGTGATAAATGCCCAGTCAGTTTCTCCAAGTTTTTAGTATCTTAATAATACACGATGCTCCACGTTTTAGTGTCGTGCAGACTCGTAAATAGATTCCAGCGTTTCGGAGAAACATACTGTCTCCATCTTCAGGGCTGAATAATATGTAGTGATTTGTATAAATCGAGAAGTTTTGTGGTGCGTCTTATATTTTGCACTTAATCACAAAATATTGTTGGCTTCTATTAAGAAAACTTTATTCTTTTGGGTCTAGGGACGAAGGCCACTGATATACAAGAATATTATATGTCCGGACAATCCCTCCAGCGACAATGGGACTAGAAACAAATCGGTTTTGGTGAGGTCTGAGGCTCTCACGGTAACAGACATGAAGATGGTCGTCTTCTGGGATGTAGCACTGTGTAGTGTGGCAGACATTGACCGGAATTTCAAAGGCGTTTACTGTCTCTGACGTCATTAACCTGATGATGGTAAAGTAACCTCCCCCAGTTTCTACCAGAGTACACGTTCTGGATTCCATAAGACGGCCACCTTCAATTCCGTTTTGACCCATGTGGAGGTTTTAAAACCTGAGGAATTGACATTGTGACGTAGAACCTCAGAAATGTATGGTTACTTTGCTGGTCAGGAGATTCTTTGCTTCTAGGGGACCCGAAGGATTATTACCGTGGTCAGAAATGCCAATCAGTGGACTGTTCTAAGCCATTTGTACAAAGTTCCCGACTTCATGTTTATTATCTTCTGTCTACGCCGTGGTCTTTTCGCTTGTTGTTTGCCGACTAAAAATTTATTTAATTTATTTAAGTTTCTCATCTTACGTGTCACATCAATCCCATGCCAATTAATTATTTTATATTCCTGTTCATACGACTTAGTTGAGTAAAAATTATGAAGCCACTCATGTAATTTCCTTAGTTACTTTTCGTTAGGTTGGATTGGATTAGAACTTTAGCGTTGTTCATAGTTTCTGCATTTTCTCTTTACAGATTTCGTTCGTCACTCTTCAGAAGCGACACGAGAAGAACTGGTAAGTGGTACTACAATTTATTCTCATGTAAATTGTATTATAAGAGACGTGTTTGTTTATAATACAGAATTAAAGCCTTTATATGATTTCAAACTTTGAACAGTCATAGTCAATAATTTCAGTTGTCTGAAATTTCTAGGCGGTCTTTATCATAAATAAAATAAATGAAGAATAATGTAGCGTGCATTAACGAGGGGGGTGGGTTAGAAATTCTTATGACTTTTTCTATCGGAAAACCTGACGGGAAGAGACAACTGGGAAGACCTAGGCTCAGATGGGAGAATAACTTACGATACATATTGTGTGAACAGCGTTACATATGTTTTGCGCATTTCTAATTACGTAAAGAGATGCTTAGGAACGTACTTTATGTGTGGGGCTGTGTAATGCGGTTGAGTGTTTGCTATGCAAGTATCCGTGATAGATCAGTCAGAATAATAACTGGGTATACGGGCTGAAAGACCGGGGTTCGATCCCCGGCATGACACCTCTATTTTAGCCGCAAAATCCAAACTGGGTCTGGGGTCCAATTGGCATCGGGTTATTTCCTCTTGGAAAGCTAACCCCTCGCCTACATTTAATACAGAGGTTAAGAATTCGTGGAGTTATACCACCATTACCCTGTACCTCTGCATGGCGTAGTCATTTATTGAAAGCCAAAGACATGTACTTGATTTTAAATAAATAATTAAATAGAATAAATTCTTTCTAATGCATAAAACCGGATATAATTCTATAGCAAAGAAAGATTAAAGATAATAATTACATTTCATGTGACCTTCTACCAACCAGCCCGACAGGACGGAAGGAAAAAATGTGGTGAAACAGGAAGCTTTTATGTTATAGATTGTGTAAAATTGATAATGACAGAACCGAAATTAAACCTACAAATTAGGATGGGAAATGTAAACAGATAATTATTTTAAATGTGTTGGAGAGATTGTTTTATACATAGTTAGATAATTAACTAATGAGAAACAATTAGTGTAACGCAGAATGTGACTGAGAGAGTTTTGTTAATTAGTGCACATAATGGCGGAATGGACACGAAAACAGAGTAAATTACGTAAATAATTCAAATAGATAAAGGATGGCACAGAGAGACTTTTAGGAGAGATAAACCAAATGTTGGTGAATAGTGAACAGCTGAAAATCACCTAACAATACTTTAGATGGTCTGTAATGTTGACCATAAACGAGAAAAAATATATTTTTTCAATTGTTTAAGAATTTCAGTGCAAATCGATTTTAAAATTAATCAAATATTAAGAATGGCGATTAAAGTTTATTTACAGGTGTGCATATACCACTACGTACTTTGTAGGGGAAAAAACTTCATTTTCGTAATTGCATTGTTTGGAACTTACAGATTTCGGGAAAATATCTCGTACTTCTACATTTTTCATAATTACCTGTTGATTGTATGGGTGTGATGTTGGGTCCCACACTTTTAAAGAAAAAAATATGGATCAAAAGATTTTGAGGAGAATGTTTGATCCGGAGAAGGAAAGCAAGGTAAAGATTATGAAAGTTTCATAATGAAGAACTTCATAATCTGTACGTAAAAGTCTTAATTTTATTTAATATAAGTGGATGGGAACACGGGACGCTTGACGAGAGTTTTAATTGTCAACCCTAAATTAAGATACCGCTTGGAAAAACTAGGTGTATAATATTAAAAAGCAACTTAAACTGTGTATGTGTGCACTGGATTCGGAGGTTTCGAGATAAGACCTAATGTTGGGATTTTGTTTGCACATTAATGACATTCGGATTAAGAAGGAACGGAAAATAGCTTAAACCTCCAAGCGAGTATCAGATTTTTAAAAAGGACTCTGCTCCATGGATTAATGAATTTATTCTAGGTTTCTCTTTGATTCCTATATTGCACTTATGGGAGTTGTTGATGAAATATGTAGATCATTAAATATTAATACATAATCGGTCTAAAAGGGGCGATGTGTAATTTATTCCACTGTACAAACCCAAGTCGATTTTTTGCACTAATGAAATCATAAAAATCACTATTCAAGATTCGAACCTGGGACCTTCCGATATAAGAGCGGGTTTATTAACCACTGCTCCGTCAGTTTCCAAAACGAGTGTTAGTTTAACATCGCACTGTGGTCCTGTTTTCGTTGGCGTTCATTTGTAATTGGTTCGGAAAGAATGTAACGCAAAATGTGGAAGTTAGGGGAACATGTAAATTGATAACAGGTTAGTTAGAGTGTTGTTTGTGAATGTGGTAGAATGCGATGTTCCGGGCTAAGCTGGTATGTCGACTCGGCCGAAATCCCTGTAATGACAGTGGTTTTTGTTGGAGGAAATGAAATGTAGGCATGACAAGAACGTACTGTGGCTGTAATCTACTTTACTTCTAAAAATAATCTTCTCTTTCAGAATGCTAATATGAATTTCTTGAACACAAATATTTACGTATTTCACGTTACAGAAATCCGTATAAATAGACCCTTTATTATACCTTTAAAATCTATAACTGAAACTGAACATTCCAATCAAAAATTATCTGTTTGTAGACGAAGATGTGTAATTTTAAATAATACTTTTGTTGTTGAAAATAATAAACTTATGAGATGACAGTGTTGCCTGTCTTAATGTGTACGTGTGTGCTTTCAACGTTTGAGCCAATTGACAGATTTCTACTAAATTTATTTGGTGCGAAGCATATTACATGTACACAACATTAAAACATTAGATTTGGATAACAGGTTTTGTGTGGCCACAGAATTGGCTAATACAGGAATCACTTCTGTTCGCTTCTTTGTTTCATATTGCTGAAGAAAACTTAAGTACTAAAGAATAGCTTCTGAGAATTATTAGCGTGGACAGAATTCCAAACGTTTGTCTTGGCTGCGAAATGAAATGTCGTTACGCACCCAGAATATATTTCTTAGAAACCAAATTATTAATCAGGCACCAGTCACAGCTCAGTATTCGCTTTATGTATGCGTCATGAAATTGTCAATGCGTTCTTATTCTATAATTCATTACGTGTCAAAATTGCGTAGTGCAAATTTATGTTCTTCTAGATCGTCAAGATAACTAGGACAAGTTTCTTCAAGTGTTGAAGTTCATTCGCGTGTTGTAACAATTCAAATATCTGTCATCAAGAAATATTTGAAGTTGTAACTCTGTGACGTGTTTTTCATTGTGGTACATCGTTGTCGTGTGTCGAAATAAGCTGATAAAAACAGCCAAATAGATCGATATATGGAAATGAGGTGCATTACAGCTCTGCTTCTGTGTTTCAGTGCGTGAGAATAACCATTAAGAACTCAAGAAAACTTTTGTCTTAGTTACACGTATTTCCTGAATGCTTTTATAGCCATTTTGTCACGCGTCATAGAAGTGATCCTTATTTATTGTTGATACAAATTAATGTATTGTTGCGCAACTATACACAAGATTCAAAAAAACACTGAATCTTTCTATGTAACACGCAAATAGGTTGGTTATAATTTGCTCTTAGGAGATTTTAAGCCTTATGGAATAATATTTATGAATTTGTACGCTCAATGCTTTAGATTTACCGCTATTCTTCGGAGGATATTTATTATTAGAACCGCAAAACATTCTTAAAAATACTTCATATGAAGATATGTTTTATACACAATCTACAAATCATAATGAGCTATATAGGCCTTTAGTTTGTGTTAAAGATTATTCTTCTGTAGGACAAATCTTCCACGATAAAGTTTAATTTGAGCTTTCTATAAAGTAATTTCACATTTGGCCGATGTAAAGTTTAGGTACGTGCATCCTACTATAGTTTTAGTGTAGACACCTTATACCACACTCAAATAAGATCAAACGATGGTAAAATAAGATGGTAAAGTTGCGTCATATTGTGATATAATAAGTATATATTAAATCTTGTCCGTCTAATCACAATAAATTCTTGTTAAATATTAAAATATTACAATAATTAACATTTAAAATATTAAATGATGTTCTTTATCGAAATATTCGATTTACATTAGACCAAGCTTTATATAATTATATACACCTGAGGATGGTTCTTTTAGGAACTGAAACATGTCGTGAAACATGAAAAATGATGGTCTAATGTAAATCGAATATTTCGATAAAGAACATCATTTAATATTTAAATTGTATTTGAATTATTTATCGTTTTGAAGCTTTATATAATTATATACACCTGAGGATGGTTCTTTTAGGAACTGAAACATGTCGTGAAACATGAAAAATGATGGTCTAATGTAAATCGAATATTTCGATAAAGAACATCATTTAATATTTTAAATATTTTAAATGTTAATTATTGTAATATTTTAATATTTAATAAGAAGATCAAACGAGTTGCTTTGGTTGTTAGATATACGGACGGACGGACGTAAGACGTATTTCAAACATTGTACTTTGATTCTATGCACTTCATATCTGATCAACAAATCCGTATCCTCATTTAGAATACCATGTACTTACTTAACACACTTTAAGAGCTACCTTTGTGGCGGAATTTATGAGAACGTATACTTCGAGTTCATAATCATGATATTCTCCGTAATATCCTGTTATGTGTGTAATAAAAATACAGGAAAGGAATGTGGTAAGTTTACGATTTGCCCGTTCAGTGACGGCGTTAAACAAACATCACTACGTCAACAACCTATTTAAGTCGTAATGGAAACTTGAACATATAAATTTATTTGCGTTGGCAGTACAAATGGCTGCCGTTGGGTGTTTGAAATGACTACCAGTAGCTGCTAGATATATCTGGTGTCAACTGCAGATGACAATTTACATTCACCGAAGACTAGATTAGTTCTCAGTGAAACTTCTGCATTTTAACTGCATCCATACTTAAGTTGGATAAAATAAAATTTACTGTACTATATCCAGGTAAACTCGGCTGATACAACTTTTTATTGGGTACGTAATTTTAAGGTCACTGTCATTTGTGCTACATTGCATCATTTGGTATGGTATATATTATAGGAGGATTCTATTTGTGTCCT